TTGTCTTTCTAGTTGATGACATCAAGTGTTTGTAGGCCTCTCCATCATCTTCTTGTCTGCCTCGTTGTCTACGACCATTCAACTTCCTTGTAACTACAGTTTTTACCTTCCTTTATCTGACAGTATGTCTATGTGCCCCAGCTATTTCAGCCTATTAGCCCTCGTGAGTCCAGTGGTTAAAGTATCTTATAGAACAAAATACATAAACCGCTCGAGTTGCAGAACCAGAAATTTTGCTGCATTTAGTATGCATTGAACATGGAACATATTTTTTTAACGGCCCTACAACTGGCTAAAAGGTCTTTAAACACATCATTTTACAAATTATACCTTACATAGGATATAAACGTTTCTTCAATTTTCCTAGATCTTTTTTTAAACTGTCGCCAGGAAATGTTTAAATTGTTTTAACGCAAATTGTTTGATTCAATAAGATTTTGCATGGCAAAGTTTCCACAATATCGTGTAGACCGGAGGTGGTCTTCTGCCTTCTATTACTCAATGGAGAATAGATTCCCAACCAACTCATGCCAAGTTGTTCTGTCCTTTGCTTTTGCATGCAGCTCACCCCAGCCCTTCCTGCCATTTTAACTTCATTCTTTGCCCGGCTCTCTGGTGTAGTTGGCTAAACCGGATTGCAAGGTGATCGGGTGACGAACTTCTTGTGGTCCGGGTTTACTCCCGGGGGTACGCAGAAAAGCCACATTTCTCCCAGATTTACGGTATTTACAATGGAATCAAGGCCGAAAGATTGCGATATCCAAATACCGAGCCTAAGGGTTAACTCTTGGCTTCTGGATACTAAAACAAACAAAACAACTTCATTCTTTCACTCCCTTCTCCGTATTTCTTTTATTTTTTCTGTCTTTATTTCTATGCCCTGTGGGTTTCAGTCCAAAGACATTCTGGTTATATTGTTATCAAGTTTTCTCACGTAGGTCTTATCCAATGCCAGCGTCTTTTCCTCACCTTTTGGTCCACTGGAAATTGTTCAGTTCTCTCCCGATTCTATTTTGCTCATGCACCAGTTTATTAATGTTCGTAGTTTGTTAGTAATCTCAGTGCCATCAAAGCTCCTTTTGATTTTTGTATTCGTATTTTAATCTCTAACAGTTTTCCCATCTTTATCGACATTACTGCCCAGATATGTGACTCCACTTCTTAAAGTTGAATCTATAAATCTACAAGAATAAAATACACAAGCTGATTGATTGCAAAACCAGCTATTCGCCTGCGATTTGCATGCATTGAAATTCTTTTCTGAAAAGAAATATATTCTTCGAACACATAGTTTTAAAATAATACTGAAGGGTATACTCGTTTAAACGTTAATACATTAATTTCTATACTTTTTTTTTTTAAATTAAAACTGTTACCAGCATTGTAACGTTTTTTTTTTTAAACAAATGGTTTGATTTATTGGAGTTTGTATGCTAAAAAGTTACATAGAACCTGTTTTGCTGTATGGCAACAGATCTTGGAATGTCAATGAACAAATTAAGAAGATTTTGGAAACAACAGAGATGTGGTTTCTGAGACGAATGTTATGAATGCCACAGTAACTAACGATTGTTTGAAAGAAGCTAATGAAAGTAGATCTCTGTATACAACAATAAGAAGGAAACCAACAATGTTCTTTGGCCACGTAATGATAAGAGATGCACTGGAAAACATTTTGACAACTGAAAAGATCAGTGGAAAGAGAGGTAGAGACAGACCAAAAGAGATGATGTTGGATGGGCTGAAACGATGGCATAAAGTGATATCATCAAGAGAGCTGATCTAGGCAACCAGGGATTGTGATCTGTGGAGATGCATGAGCGCCATCGCCAGTTGGCAGGGCACATGATGATCATGATGATGATCATGCAATTTTCTGTCGTAACATGTGCACTCAGGGAGTTGAGCAGAAAGGTGGAGTTGAGGAGAAAAGTGGAGTTGAGGAGAAAAAGTGACCTCAGCGGCAAGTTTTGCAGCTTTTAGTGTATAATTTCATGGGAAGTTCACTGTGCAATGGCTAACATGTCTTGATTTTACACTCACTTACTGTCTATCCCGTTTTTCATTTCAAAAATATAATAGAATGTATTGACCATTCAAACCATCCAATAATATATTTTTTTATTATTGCGCACTAAATCAAGGCTTAAGCCCATTCCTAATTAATCATTTGTGAAAGCCCTCCTGGCGCGCACTATCGGTAGTCTGGGAAGGTGGTTAGTGAGTCAGACAGCTAGCTGGTCGCCTCATTCTTAAACCCAGGTAGGTAATATGTGTCGGCGTCTAACATATGTCATATATACGTTAGTTTTTAACTTATGGTAGAAAAGCTTGAGGTTTTTATGTTTTATTATCAGAGCTTCACATCCGATCGTCGATGATTCATTATTACATTACATGTAACCAGGTGCGTCGTGTTATTTCTTTTACACCTTCTTCTTTTCCTTGTCCTCCAACTCCTCCTCTGTCTCTTCTTCTTCTTCTTCTTCTTCTTCTTCTTCTTCTTCTTCTTCTTCTTTCTTCTTCTTCTTCTTGTTGTTGTTGTTGTTGTTGTTGTTGTTGTTGTTGTTCTTCTTCTTCTTCTTCTTCTTCTTCTTCTTCTTCTTCTTCTTCTTCTTCTTCTTCTTCTTCTTCTTCTTCTTCTTGTTGTTGTTGTTGTTGTTGTTGTTGTTGTTGTTGTTGTTGTTGTTGTTCTTCTTCTTCTTCTTCTTCTTCTTCTTCTTCTTCTTCTTCTTCTTCTTCTTCTTCTTCTTCTTCTTCTTCTTCTTCTTCTTCTTCTTCTTCTTCTTCTTCTTCTTCTTCTTCTTCTTCTTCTTCTTCTTCTTCTTCTTCTTCTTCGTGTTCACCGGCTGTAAACTGCAGCGAAATGTTGTGGTTGTTTGTCTACTTCTGGATTTTAGTCTCGTTCCCTAATTTGGGTTTTACGTGTGCATCCGCTTTACCGATCTGACCAACCTGTATGCAGACTGCTGGTCCCTCGCCTCTTAGGTTGATGCGCTCCGATTTCAAAGGAAACCCCGCAATTAGTCGCATTTTACAACATGTTTGTAAGGGTGCATTGGGTGGTTTTTTTTTTTTTTTTTACCTTTGAAACGGGAGCTCGGAACCCACTTGTGAGCACTGGCGACTTCTCTAGATACTTTGTAGGGAGTAGTTACAACTTCATTAGATACATTGTAGTTAGTACTTGCAACTTTATTAGGGAAACTGTAGTGAGTACTTGCAACTTCTCTAGATACTTTGCAGTTAGTATAGGGAACTTCTTTAGATACTTGTAGTGAGTATTAACAATTTCTTCAGACACTTTATAGTGAGTATGGAAATTTCTGTAGACACTTTATAATGAGTATGACAACTTCTTTAGACATTTTATAGTGAGTACTTGCAACTTCTTTATATACTTTTTAGTGAGTACTTGCAACTTCATTAGATACATTGTAGTGAGTACTTGCAACTTCTTTAGATACTTTGTAGTGAATACTTGCAACTTATTTTGAAAGTTCGGCTCCCAGCCTTAAATGGGTATCAAGTGAAGTCCTAGAAAATAAAGGCGGTCGATGTGATGGTCAGCATCACGCCGGCTGACTTTACTTCCCAGGAGTGCACCTGGTACCCACTTTGGTCCACCTGGGAGCCAAGGTCATATTTGAAACAAGTTCGGCTCCGCCAAGAAGCGAACCCACGACCTTCTGATCCGCAGGCGAGCGTCTAACCGCTATGCCAACCCGACTCCCAATATAAAATAACCTGTTCGGATGGTATTCTATATTGGATTATCTTAGCATCTTTGTTGAAAATACCGTAATACTGAATATAAACCTCACATATGTTGAGATTGTAAGTTGATTAACACAGGTGAACACGTGCACTCACGACGTTGCGTTTGTTTTTGCAGAAGGTGACAGGAGCCTAGACGCTTCTATTTCAATCTCTAATAAACGACTTTTACTGCGCTGTTAATACACAAGATTAACTCACTAATGTGTATTTTGAACAACCGCAATGTGTAGCGCCCCCGCCCCTTTTTTGTTTATTGGGGCGCGGGGAGGGGTGGAATAGACCAGCCCAGTTAACAACAGCCTGTGAATTTTTTTTTTTAAGCGGACCGTGTTCAATTCGTAGGTTTTGGACTGTAATATGCAGCCTAGCTGTCAACCACAACAAAACGTGCCTACTGCCTTTTTTATTATGAACGAAGAGGAAGAAGAAGAAGAAGAAGAAGAAGAAGAAGAAGAAGAAGAAGAAGAAGAAGAAGAAGAAGAAGAAGAAGAAGAAGAAGAAGAAGAAGAAGAAGAAGAAGAAGAAGAAGAAGAAGAAGAAGAAGAAGAAGAAGAAGAAGAAGAGTTGCGTGTTGAATGTTGACAATCACAGCACTCGGGACACTTCCATAAGTGCTCCATCCACGTCCGCAGCAGCAAGAGAAGAGTTCCAATTCCGATGGCACCAGTAGCCGTCTGATTGTACATCCGTCTCATCCTTTCCCCTAGTGTTGAGCGTCGGCCGCATCCACTTTTAACTCTTCGCAGGACCATTCCCCTCAGACCGTAATGATCTATCTGCAAAAGGTTGCTAGCTACCCAGGATCTCTGAAGTGATGCTTGCCACACTGCACGACTTATGCCTGTCTTCGCCTTTCTCAATATACTCTGTGAGTCAGTTACAATTACGGCATGTGTGTACAGCTGATTCTCAGCCTAGCAGAAGGCAGCAGAGGCTGTCTCCACCTCCAGTCTCAAACTTGACGTTGTAATAGCATATGCAAGGCTTTGCTACACTAAGCGACGTCCAACCGTCTTTGCTATGAATCCCCATGCACTTCGTCTGCACCTTATGCTACATATCATGGACTATGGGAAGAAGTATTTATAGAATGGCGTTTCTTTTGTTATTGTTGTTGTTGTTGTTGTTGACATTTTTAAGTGTTTATTATAAATGTATGCAGTTCTGAGTAATGGCTGGATGGATGAGTGCTCTATGAAATGATGAGATATAAGGAAATGTCAGATAGGAACTGCTAAAAGATCTATGCTGGACCCTTCCTTCTGTATGACTGAGCATGCAATTACAGGACGTGACACACCAAAAGCCCTTCCCAAAGCTTGTTTTGATCGCACGAAAATACTGTATACGTTACTTTTTGTCCTCGCATAACGTTGCAGGTGCAAGAGAATTTCAATAGGCTCGGCATCTGCTGTTAGAACAATGAATTCTCCCTGTCCTGGATTCAGCGTTAGTGGCTTTATTGGCGTCTGTTTTCAGTTGCTTATCATTGGAAGCCTGCTGTAGAAGTTCCAAATGATGCTCTGTCAATGTCTGATCTGCTACAGGGGTATGCTTTGCTGCTTTTTTCTTCAGCCATCGTTGTTGAGTATTCTTTGAATTTAATTAAAATGGATGCCTTTTTTTTTTCTACAACTTAATATCTAGCCAGCCATCTCCTTGTGAGATGCAATTTTTCGTTATTTTGAAGCCCCACCCTGGCTTTAGCCGTAGGCCGCAATATAGCTCGACCATAATTATGGTCTAATGGCTGACCGCGGTTTCTGGGACCTCTCCACGGTGATCCTCATCCTCATTGTGGAACTTTGTGTCATCGGGTGTTTATCGCTTGTGTGATGTCCTAGTGGGGTGAAAATTTGCTACTACTACTAATTTCAACAACCTCTCTGCGAAAAAACTTCGCTTCACTGAGTTGAGTTGAGTTGAATCAAAAATTGACATCACAGCACTCGGGGCATTCCCATGCATGTTCCGTCCTGGGTGTTCCATAACCTGGAGAAAAGATCCAAAGTATGCTCACTACCCGTGACTTTTCCAGTGAAGCTTGTCACTCTGCTCGACGCATACCTGCCTTTATCTTTTTCAGCATGCTTTCAGAGTCTGATACAATTTAGACATGTGTATGCATATTGTTCTCTAGCCACCGGAGAGCAGCAGTTACCGCCTCCACCTCCATTCTCATGATAGATGTTGTGGTGTCGTATGTAAGGCTGTCTTGCACTAAAGATTTTCCATTGTCTTTCGCTACGAACCCCCAGGCACTTCTCTTTCCCCTTAGCACCGAACCATCTGTATAGACAATCAGATCACATGGGCGTGAATTGTCGTAAATCAACTGTTGGACTTCAACCTCTGCAGCAGCCGCTGGCCACTCTCTGCACACCCGGCCTAATGTGATCATAACCCTACACAGGTCAGTCTTTTCCGCTGGTACTCTGACCCACTTCCTCCTCACCCAATGTTCTCCAGCATCCAGACTTGTCTTATTGTGTCTTCTGTTTGAGTCATCCACCATTTACCCCTTTTCAGCCTTTGACCCTTGCCTGCAGCCAAAGTTTCATACAGAGGATGTTTCCTGTCTGCAGCTACTCTGAGGTATGACTTAGCCTGCAGCAGCTTTAGCCTGTCTGCAATAGTCGGCAATGCAAATATGTATCGCATTCACACAATCGGTGTGTCTCTTGTACAACCCAGGATCCGCCGCATAGCTTCATTCTGTAAGCGCTCGTTTAACTAGCTGGCTCTTCGAGACAGCGAGTAACCCCCATCAATAATCAGTCAGTGAGATGATTAAGTGCTGGTAAAGTGTGAACAGCATTCTCTGCTCCATATCCATCGCTGCCAAAGTCTTAAGTGCATTTTATCTGGGTCTGTCTCCCAAATGCCCAGCCTGGCCGCCCGACGGATACTACGTCGGTAATCCAGACTGTACAGGGAAACCCCTCGGCAAAATTTTGTTTGAGATGTAAAGGTGCGATGTACTGCTTAAACCAAACTTGAATGGCGTTTCTAGGACATCCGCTAACTTTTCATATTTTTAGAACATTAAGAGGTGTAGCAGCGGCCAAACTGTCTACAACCTCCCCTCGATAAATTGTGGATGACGTAATTAGCGAGCGACTGACTGACTGACTTTCTACCCCACCAGGACATCACACAAGCGATAAACACCCGATGACACAAAGTGCCACCATGCGGATGAGGATCGCCGTGGAGAGGTCCCAGAAACCGCGTTCAGACATCTGGCCATATTTATGGCCTGCCTATATTGCGGCCCCCGGCAAAAGCCAGAGTAGGGCTTCAAATGACAAAAAATTTCGTCCTGAAAAGGACGAAACTGGATAGCGAGCGACCCGCTTGGTTGCGACTAAATGTGCTAATTTGTAGTAGAAATTACACTTAACTTTTCTGTAATGCATTATGGAAAGATGTCAAGTATGACTGCTATTTTGATTTATTTGTTTCAACAAACCCCTGTTCTGTTTCATATATTTGCGTTCGACTGATTAATAAAATGAACCTGACATTTAAATTGAAAAGCAGAATGACAACTCCATAGACTAAAGTATTTATAGTTTAGCAAGTTATTTCCCTTAGCAGGGAGTTGGACATGAAAACGAAAAAAAGCAGAAACAAAAGCTCGGTGCAACATTAATGATCTGAAGAGTTCTCAACAGTTTGTCCTCTTCTTTTGTAATTGCTTTCCCAGGGAATGCATTCTGAATGATTGACGCCCAGCGCTCAAATGGAAACTCCCCACTCAGTAGGACCTTTACAGAGCACACTCCTATCACGGCCTTCGTGAATGAAACTAGATTACGATACGCCGTCCCAATACGGGACGCAATTTTTCGTTTTTTTTTTTTTAAACCCCACTCTGGCTGAGTGAGTGAGTGGGATTCAACTCCACCAGGACATCCAAACAGGCGATAAATACCCGATGACACAAAGTGCCATCATGCGGATGAGAGTCACATGGAGAGAGGTCCCAGAAACCCCGTTTAATCCATAGGTTGAGTTATATTAGGGCCTCCGGCAACTGCCAGGGTGCAGCTTTAAAACAATAACAAAAATTGACCCTGACACTGGGACACAGTAAGGTTTCAAGGGTACTGTGGCTGTTGTCAGGGACCCAAATATAACCTAACTGTTGAACTGGGTTTGTGGAATTTGTACCCGAGTGATCCTCATCCGAATGGTGGCATTTTTTGTCACCGGGCGTTGGTCGGTCGTTGTACGGCTCTCGTGGGGTTGGACGACACACAGAAACTCGACTGCAGCCGTGCTAACACGAGACGAAATTCTTTGTCATTTCATGGCCTTATGCCGGCTGTCGTCAAGGACTTTAATATAACCAAACGGTGGAGCGGAGGTTCTGGGACATGCTCACCGGGGATTCTCGTTCAAATTGTGGCACTTTATGTCTTTGAAACTCGGTTCCCTGCCAGCTCGCCCACTTCATGCACTTTCCTGCCGAAAATTTTTGTTTTGTCACGAGCTCATTATCATGTCTGTGGGAACCTATCGCTTTTATCTGATACCAAGCCCTCCGCTAGTGTCCTCTCCGTCCACAGTGCCGTATGAAATGATTCAAGTATTTCAGTTTCCGAGACTAGATGCTGTTTATATGGCAGCTTTCTTTAGTTTTGGTGCAATTTGCATTTCTTAGCCAATATAATTGGCACAAAGAAACCAGAATACAATTATAACCGATACTGCTCGCAGCAGGTTGAACGAGATCAAGTTTTTTGTTTTGTTTTATATAAATGGACAATGGCCCAACCCCCACGCATTTGTCCTAGGTATTGTAAGAATGTTTCTGTACAATTTAAGCTACAAGCCCACATTTTCTTCCCAAATGATTGTGAAAGTTCAAGAATCACACCCGTATGTTGCTAAAGGAAAGATTCATGCTCTCAAAATGTGAACTTAAATTTGCATGTCGTGCGCAGCCATAAACTTGTAATGTTTGATGCGACACCATTCCGGCAAGTGTAGATCCCAAAGATCCTGTTCAAACGTACACACTAGTTATAATAGGATCGTCTGCTGTTGCTAAGTGACAAGGTGAACTGCTGTCCTGTTTGGGTTCCATCATCATCAGTTCTTTTTACCGACCCGGTTGCTTCGAGATACCAGCTAAGTGATTGTGTGTTTCTGTGTAGTATTGTTTCATTTATATGTGCTGATAAATGCTCAATAGCCGCAACTTTATTTTTGTTATCATTTGAAGCTTACTTATATACTTTTCGTTTGGTTTTATATCTTTTCTTTTTATGTCTAGTGGCACATGAGGCTACGGAGAGGACTTTCCGTGCTTTCCTATCCTGTGCAATCTTCAGTGCAGTTTTCCATGTCAGAGATGCAGCACTCAGTTCACTTTCCGTCGTTCGTCTCCATTTTGTTTTTGGGTGCCCCTTCTTTCTCTTACCCTCTGGTGTCAAAGTGAGAGCTGTTTTTGGCAGGTATATGAGGATTCATCCTCATAACGTGGCCAAGCCATTTCCTTTTTTTTTCCCTTGGTTAGCATACTGTCTAGAGTTTCTTGCTTTGTGACTTGAAGTAGTTTAGTGTTTGAGACTTTAACTGGCCAGAAAATTTTTACAACTCTACGTAGACATGTGTGGTAGAAAGTGGACAGCTTGTGCCCATCCTTTCTGGTCATTCTACAGAATTCTGTTCCATAAAAAAAAAAAAAAAAACTGGCAAAATGATTCTCTTGTTGAGTCAGAGTTTTATTCCCTGCAGTAACTTTTGCATTTCCAGATTTTCCTCATCCTTGTTTGAATTAAGGAACAAATAATTTTCATATTTTTATCCAACGCAGTTGTCAACTAGCGACAAGCCCTCTTTTCTTTTATCATCCATCCTCTTCAGCTATTTTCACATCACCCTCCTTATTACTAAATAGCTTCTATCTTCTCCATATATTTGAAAATTTTCTTCCCATTGTCTTTTCCCACGTTGGTTCAAGAGCAAAAATGAGAAGCAAAGGATAATAATACTGACAATATCACTCAGCGAGTCTCAGATCTTCCTTTCCACATTTTCAGTTTTCTGAGCCATCGGAGTTAATTTCTGTAGATATCCCTAGCCTTCATCCACCTCTCTGGTTAGCCTTATCATTCCAGATGGTGACTCCAGTTGTTTGTAGATCTACTTGTAAATTATATCTCCATCGTCGTTTTGATCTGTCTGGCAGGCAAGGTGGTTACAATGACTGGCCAGGCATTGGCATGCGAGCTGCATAACACAGAGTAGATCTCGACAACAAGCAGGAATCAGTATTCTTGTCTATGCTGGTGCACATGAGTGTGCAACCAGCTGTAGCCACACATGAACATTTCACCAAGGCCACAATCGTTTGGGTAATCAACACAGAACGGGTATGATCAGTCGTATTTATCTTGTGGAGATACTAAGGAGGTGATCGGTGCTGTGATGATAGTCTACATCGATCACTAATCTTGATATGTCTCGCGTCTACTCTCATTTCACGCCTTTGTTTATGGATTTTTTTAGGGGGGCTGTCTGTTATATGCTCTTCTTTCTAAATGCTCAA